CGGTCTGTCTCCTCTCCACCTATCTTCTCCTCTATCCATCTTCTATCTGCCTCCCCCTCTCTCCCTATTTATTTCAGAACCCCCATCCCCTCCCCCATTTCTGAAGAAGGGTCTAGGCCCAAAATGTCAGCTTTCCAGCTGCTCTGATGCTGCTTGGCCTGCTGTGTTCATCCAGCTCTGCACCTTGTTATCTCATACTAATTCTGGTTGATTTACCATTCCCCTCACCCTAATTAACAGGCACATCAGCTATCGAGAGCCTGGATGAGATTGACGGACAGAGTGGGGTATGTTCGGTTCCAGTCCCGGCTCGGTGATGTACGTCTTGAGTTCTTATGGGTACAAACTTCTAAAGTATATTTTCTTAACATGCGCTGGATTCAGAAATCCTGGGAGAGGAGGTGATTAGCATTGTGAAAAAAAAAACACGAAATATATTCATTGAAAGTGAGACAGGGAGAGTTAAGCAACATCTTAACCAAAGTCCACACAACTCCGCTTCTTAAGTGTGGATAATGAATCTGCAATTTGACGTAACACACAAATAATTACAAACGGATGTTTTAAATGTTTAATAACTCACCGGCAGGTAAAAGTATCACTGTGCACCACAGGACGCTAGAAGTGAACGAGCACGTAGACCCCATTTAGTGCGATAAATAGACCCTTCAACTTCTCAACTGCAGCTCCCAAAGGAGACACACACACAATTTGAAAGTTGAACAGACAACACCCACAGCCAAGTCACTGTTCAGCGGGCACTAACCCCCGTCTATCTTCCAAAGGGAGAATGTGGGCGAACCACGGATATCAGCTCATACAGGCATTCGCCAACTCCAGCTTTCAGTCATGAGAGTAACCGTCAGTGAGTCATCCCTAAAGGAAGCTCCACAAACATCTTAAAAGTTCGTACACTGCCTCCCACAGCTCACGAGTAAGAATTACAACATCGTACGAGCAAATTAGTTCCCATGCACTAGCTGCCCCCTTGTTCTGGAAGTTGCAGATTTGGAAGGCCATGTCAGAGATGGCCTGCTGGTCAGCCAAGCCACAATTTATTTCTGTTCAAAGCATTAGCTGCCACAGTCTGGTAAATCTTCTTTTAGTAACATGCAGAAAAGCTTTCTTACATTCAGAGATAACACCGTGTGGAGCTGGAGGAACACAGCAGGCCAGGCAGCATCAGAGGAGCAGGAAAGCTGACGTTTTGGGTCGGGACCCTTCTTCAGAAATGAAACGTCGCCTTTCCTGCTCCTCTGACGCTGCCTGGCCTGCTGTGCCCCTCCAGCTCCAAACTGTTATCTCTGACTCCAGCACCTGCAGTTCTAACTACCTCTTTCTTACATTCAGGCAGTTTTTGGAGTGTTTAGAAATAAGTGAAGAGGGTGAAGTAAGAAACTGATGCATGAGAGACTAGAGTTGGCGAGACAAATACTGCTACTTGTGAGAAAAGTACATTTTTAAAGCTTTTTTTTTAATTCACTCATTGGATGAGGGTGTCACTGGCTAGTCAGCATTTGTTGCCCAGAGGGTGGTTAAGAGTCAACCACATTGCTGTGGGTCTGGAATCATATGTAGGCCAGACCAGGTAAGGATGGCAGTTTCCTTCCCTAAAGGACATTGGTGAACCAGATGGGTTTTTCCCCAAAAATCAATTCATGGTTATCATTCAACTCTTCATTCCAGATCTTTTAAATTGAATTCAAATTCCACCTTGATGGGATTTGAACTTAGATCCCTGGAACATTACCTGAGTCTCTGGATTAACACTATCACCTCCCCTAGTAAATTGTTGGAAATCATGATTTAAGAACAAGATAAATGCTTTTTTGGAAAGGGTATGGGTTAACCAAGGACTATTAGCACTTTTAATAGAGGGGAATCATGTCAGGCCTGACTAAACTTTGTAATGATTTAGCAGGTAAGGGTGATCAATGGGAGATATATGAACGAATTTGCAGAAGTCATTTGACAAAGTAGCCCTGTGAAAATGAGTGGAAAACAGCACTGTGGGTCTGGAATTAGTCAATGACAAGAAGCAGAGAGTAGGGGTGGACGGATTTTTATCAAATGGGAGAATATTTGCAGCCATGTCCCATAATGGTCAATTTTGGATCATTGGTTATTTCCAAATTTTTATAAACAACCTCGACTCAGGTATGGAGAACAGCATCATAATGCTCAATCCCATTGAAATCTTAGAAATTTAGAGTGATTATTAAATTCAAAGTTGTCAACACCTTGTACAAATGCCCTTGTACACTTACATAAGAGGATATTTTGCCTTCTGTAGTCACCTTGTGTTTGGGACTGTAGCTACAATAGCCTATGCATGACTATTTTGAAATTTGTGGGAATGGTTAGGAGATTGCTTGGTTTGGGGAGACATTGAAATCTATTGACATGAAAACACATAAACAGGCTTAAGTTTTCATAATATATGAGTGATTTGATGTATTTAAGGAACACATAAGCTCAGTTTAGTTAAAATGTTCTCAGTGCCAGACTGGACATGCTACTACATTTTGGATGGTTCAGAAAGATAAGACCAAAAGTATTGGCATCAATTATTAAAGAAGTAATAGCAACACATTTGAAAATCAAGTAGAGTCAACATGGCATCATGAAAGGGAAATAACGTCTGACTAATTTGAGTTTTTCGAGGCATATCAACCAGAGTAGATAGGGGAAACCTGTAGATGTTTTGTATTTGGACTTCCAGAAGGTGTTCGACAAGATACTAAACAAAACGTTAAGGTCATAAGATATCAGCCCATGGTGTCATAGAGTGATGCAAATTCTTTGGCCCAACTCATCCATATATTGGCATGGATAGAGAATTGTGTAATGGGCAGGAAACAGCAACTGAGGTAAGGAATCTTTTTCAGGTTGGTGACCTGTGACCCATGGGTTATTTTAGAATCTTTACTGGGATGCAACTGTTTACAGTATATATTAATGACTTGGATGAAGGAGGCAAATGTACTGTTGGCAAATTTGCAGATGACACAAAAATAAGTTAAAAGGCAGGTTGCGAGAAGGATGCAAACAATTTACTAAGAGATATTGATTGGTTAAATGGGCAAAAATTTGGCAAATTGAGTAAATTGTGGAAAAATGCGAATGTGTTCAGTTTGGAAGGAAGAACAGAAGAACAGTGCATTATTTAAATAGAGAAAAATTGCAATAAGCTGCAGCATGAAGGGACTTCTGAATACTTGTGCATGAAACACAGAAAGCTAGCACACAGATGCAATGAGAGAGATCTGGGTGTTCAGGTCCATTGTACCCTGAAGGTGGCAATGCAGGTCGATAGAGTGGTCAAGAAGGCATACGGCATGTTTTCATTCATCGGACGGGGTATTGAATACAAGAGTTGGCAGGTCATGTTACAGTTGTATAGGACTTTGGTTCGACCACATTTGGAATACTATATACAGTTCTGGCCGCCACATTACCAAAAGGATGTGGATGCTTTGGAGAGGGTGCAGAGGAGGTTCGCAAGGATGTTGCCTGGTATGGAGGGTGCTAGCTATGAAGAGAGGTTGAGTAGATTAGGATTATTTACATTAGAAAGACAGAGGTTGAGGGGGGACCTGATTGAGGTCTACAAAATCATGAGAGGTATAGACAGGGTGGATAGCAAGAAGCTTTTTCCCAGAGTGGGGGACTCCATTACTAGAGGTCACGATTTCAAGGTGAGAGGGGAAAAGTTTAAGGGAGATATGCGTGGAAAGTTCTTTACGCAGAGGGTGGTGGTGCCTGGAACGCGTTGCCAGCGGAGGTGGTAGAGGCGGGCACGATAGCATCATTTAAGATGTATCTAGGCAGATATATGAATGGGCAGGGAGCAGAGTGATACAGATCCTTGGAAAATAGGTGACAGGTTTGGATAGAGGATCTGGATCGGGGCAGGCTTGGAGGGCCGAAGGGCCTGTTCCTGCGCTGTAATTTGCTTTGTTCTTTGTTCTTTGTTCTAATATTGGCCCTTATTTCAAGAGGGTTCCAGTATAAAAGTAGGGAAGTTTTACTGAAACTGTACCTGGTGCTGGTGTGACCACATTTGGAGTACTGTGAGCAGTTTAGGTCCCCTTATTTAAGGTAAAACATCATTTCATTTCAGGCAGTTCAGAGAAAGTTCACTAGGATGATCCTTGGTATGGAGCGATTGTCATATGAGCAAAGGCTAAGGGACTCTAATGACTTGAGTTTAGAAGAATGAGAAGTGATCTCTTAAGGGATTGGACAGGGTAAGTGCTGAGAAAATGTTTCCCCTCATGGGAGAGTCTAGGACTAGAAGGCATAGTCTCAGAAAAAAGGATGCCAATTTAGGACTGAGATGAGGAGGAATCTCTTCTCTAAGTTTATGGATCTCCTTGCCAAGGAGAGCTGTGGGGAAGGAGTCCTTGTGTATATTTAAGACAGAGATAGATAGACTTTTCATCAGTAGGGGAATCAAGGATTACACGGTAAGGGCAGGAAAGTGGATGTGAGGAATGTAAGATTAGTCAGGATCCTATTGGATGGCAGAGTGGACTCAGAGGACACAGGGGGCAAGAATCCCAAACCTGTTAGAACCAGGTCTTCTTCAGCACTACCTCCTCAATCCCTCTACCTGCCTTGCCAGTCACACCCTCCTATCCCTGACCACTGACCGAATGCGAGAGTAATCTATGTGGTGTGAAACACAGTGTCCAGGTAACTCTCCTCCTCCCTGATGTGTTGCAGTGTTCGAAGTTCAGATTCCAGCTCATCAACTCTGAGCCTGAGTTCCTCAAGCACCCAATACTTGCTA